AGTAATATTCCATTGTATATATGTGCCACATCTTCTTTATCCATTCACCTACCATTGGACACTTAGGCTGTTTCCATGACCTGGCTATTGTAAATAGTGCTGCAATGAACATTGGGGTGCATGTGTCCTTTTGAATTATGGCTTTCTCAGGATATATGCCCAGTAGTGGGATTGCTGGGTCATATGGTAGTTCTGTTTTTAGTATTTTTTCATAATTACTTTTGTAAAGTTCTTTGGATTCTCAGGGAAAAGATGCTATTTACCTTTAATTTTAGCTTTGGATATTTTTTATTAGTAGGAGCCTCACAGGGCTCTAAGCCAGCTCCAAAGGAAAGTAAAATCAAGACTTTCCTTGTGCATAGGTATGAGGCTTTATAAAACTCTTAATAAAATGCTGCAGAGAGGAAAGATGCTAGCGGGAGAGGCTGTCTGTAGTCCACATACTGCCATTCTTGGCCAGCATTTCTAGAAGTCACCAAGCAAATACCGAGTATAATGTCTAGAGAGAGAATTTATCTATAGTACCCTCACATGAAGGACGCTGCCAAGTCTTTATGTGTCCCAATTTATGATTTGTTCTTAGAGACAGTCAACCATCTATAAACTAAGGAAAGGGAATCCCACCTGAAGGCTTCAGCTGGGGCCACCAGAGTGCGCTTTCCTCAGGCTGGTTTTCCTACTGATCAATTTGCCTGAGAGCATTTCAAGCACAATCCACTCCCCTTGGAGTGTCTGCATCTATTTGAGTATCTTGTTCCTTTTTGTCACTTTGAGATTTTGTCACTTTGAGATCATTAAACTAATTCCTCTAAGGCATATCCTATTTCTTTTGTGTTTCTAATAAATAGTTCTTAACATCACACTGTTTTATGACCGAATGGATTGTTTTATATGTTGGTGGTGACTGTGTTCTACTTTATTTCCTTAAATACTGTTAGAATTTTTAAAGCCAGTATTTCTAAGGGAAGGCTCTTTGTTTAAGGCAGTATTTAATTTTTATTTTTAGGACACCTGCACAGATGCAAAAACACTAAAAAAACTTTAGGCACCTTTAACATATTTTATTTTATTGAAATATTTAAATTTATTTAATGTTAATAAATGTAATATTTATTTTAATGTTATAAAATGTAATTTTAATATTTACATTAATAAATGTAAATATATTTTAATGTATAAAAAGAATCTAGACACCTTAACGGTGAATTTCACTTGAGGGAGAGGGGTTAGGGTTCTAAGGGAATCACCAGTTGGCAGTTTTTCCAACTACACATGCTGGCATCCGCCCCTAGATTCTAGAAGTTTGGGGGTGATGGTCACATTCTCTTCTTGTCAATAAAAAATAAGGGGGAATGAAATCTGCCTTTGGCTTCCTACTCCCTCCTGACTGTATTCTGGTTTGCTGATCCCTTCATGATCATTCAGAAAACATTTTTAAGAGTTTATTATTTTAATTAAAATAGCACTTGTAAAAGCGAGTATGATTCTGAATATCATAGATCTGTTGTTAAAAAAAACTTGAACTTGGAGCTACATCATCAAACTGTGTACATGAGATCCTAGGTCATAGCAGTAGTCTCCTCCCTTTGGTGAGAAGAGGATTGGAAAAATATTTCTGATGTCACAAGAGAAAATGTTTTCAAGGAGAAAGGTTATACAAAAAGAATGAGCTTGTTGGTGGTTTCTTATTCGAATACGGCACCGTTGGGGAAGACTGACCTTGCAGGGCTAGGCCGAGCAGGTCGGAGCCAGTGAGGCTAGCAGACACTGTCCACACACGCCCCAGTCAAAAGCAGGCAGCCTAGCCACTCACCGGCAGGGCAAGATCCGGACCACATCGTTGGGCTTGTACCCTTCAATACAAACTGCACAGTTGTCAAAATCAGGCTCGGTTTCCTGCAACAGAGACAGCACAGATGAGCCTGCTTTCCCACCTTCAACTCCGGTAAACACACAAATAACAAGCCAAAGGAGAGCTTGCCTGGAGCAAGGCTTTCAACTGTCTCGGCGCCAGTTTTCTTAATCCATAATTTATTGTACACTGGTTTAGTTTCTATTCCTTCCAACCTCCACTTTCTGTTTCCGGGTTCCACTGCAAAAGCTTTTGTGAGGGAACAGTTTTTTAATGTACCATTACTAATAATGCTACTTATTATAATCGGAGGTGACATAGCCAAGTCTCGAGGATGAGAAATACTATTCATGGAGAATTGTCAAAATGATATTTAATCTATCCATTCCTCAGGAATCTAATGTGTACAACTCTTAAATAGTGGTTCCAGCTTTCTTTTCAAGTACATAAATCTCTTTCAACACCCCATAATACATTACTTATGTAATAGTCCTTGTTCTTTTATTAACCTGTTTGAGGATAAAAAAGTAATGAAAAAATATACTTTAAATTTAGTGATACTTTTAAATGAGTTTTATCCTATTAAGCTCAACGGTATTTTTATATAGTTGAAAAACAGCAGCACGTAATTAGCGAGACTAATCAATTATCCATACTGGAGACAATACCATATACAAGTAGAGTTGTGAATCTCTTACGACGCCCCAAGGAGCCCCAAACCCATGTACTGCAATTCACTGCTCTAAAATTTCTCCTGGGGGAAAAGTTCTCCCAGGGAGAACAGAGGCCTTGAGAGGCTTGTGGGCCTAGACTGGCCTACTTTGCGGTCCTTCCTTAAGATATGCTTCTGCTTTTGGCTTTATGTCATCATTCTACAGCTAGAGAGACTGTTGCCTTGACGTTGGGGTTCTAGAAACTCAATTTCAGAGGGACTAAATATGCTTCTTGCATTTGCTGCAGACTCAAGTGGAGGACATCACTCAGCACATAACAATCTTCCTTGCAAGGATTCATGGAAAAACTTTCTCAAGCTGTAATACCAGCAACAGCCATTTTGTTTTTATCTTGTGGGACACTGGAATAAGGTAATTAGATTTGTTTGAATATTGAATATTGTTTCCCTCTTTGCATTGGCTTGCTGGAGAGCCCCAGCTTAAATTTTGGGACCCATTTCTGCTATATGTTTCAGGTAATGCATGTGTATACTGATTTCATCCTGGTTGCGTCTACTTTTCCTATACCTACTTTTCAATTCTTCCTCCAACTACTTTGTTGTCCTATGGTATGCATTTTATAAACTGCTTTAAATTATGTTAAATAATGATGGGTATAATAACAGATGTTCACAGGAGAACTATTAGTATGTATTTCCCTTTCTCATCTTCTTTTCCACACTGGCTGCTAGGAAACTCGGACACTTCTCTGAATAGCTCCTTGCCAAAAAAGAAAAGAGGCTGTTACCTTGTCACCCTTCTTGATGGTCCTGACCTGGAGCTTGCTGATTGCTTTCTTTGCTGCATCTCCCAGTCGGCGCTGAAAAACCAAAAGCTGCTTGTTAGTAATAAAGACTTGTAATTCTTAACTTTGTGTCTGATAGCATTCAGTAAACCAGGGCAGCTGTGTCTGAAATCATGCACAAGTAGAAGGCATGTTAATGAAGATGGCTGGAAGAGACGGGGCAGTGATACCTGTGCAAAGGGACTTGACTCATCACAGCCTACTAAAGAGCTCTGTCATCGAGAGAAGCTCTTCATGCCTGAGGTTAAGCAAGTGGAATACGACATGGAAGGATCCTGCCCCACAGTGACTCCAGCGCAGGTCACATCCATGCAGATTAGCAAAACAAACAAACAGTTCCCTAATTTGTCACTCTAGCCACTCAATTTGTGACATGGAGATAGCCAATTTGGAGTAGTTCGAATAATCTCTATCTCTTGTTCACAGGGCATATTGTTTGTGTATTCCTTTCAATTTGGAATTTTTAAGCAATTTCCTTTGCTTATCTAGACCCAACTTAGGTTTATATTTGGTCTGTACTATCCTATCCCATCACCTTGTTACATGCCAATTTCACCTCTTTTGTGTGTGTTTAAGTGTGAGTGTGCACATAGGAAAATACATAAATCATACATATTCAGTTTAGCAAATAGTTATAGAGCAAACACCTGGGTAACCATCATCACCCACATTAAGAAATAATATATTATGCACTCCTTTTTTTTTTTTTTGCACTCCTTTTTTTAATAGAGGAGGTTAGTATCCTAATGCACCCTACAATAATACAATAATAGGGCCACGAGGAAGAATGGGAGAGGAAGAGGGTGGGGAGAGAATTACGTTTTAATCTGTCGAGGAGAAAAATGGTTTGCTTGTGCACTTATGAGTTTTCCACATACTGTAATCTTCTCAGGTATGTGTATTTCTAGTCTGTAACAGAAGTGTATTTGCAGCAGTGAGACATATTTGAAAGACTAAGATAAACAGGGCAAACATTTAAAAAGAAGCATGTGCTTTCACTAATTTTGTTTCTTTTGGAAATAAAACTCTAGCTTCTTTCTTTTCTTTAAAGTAGTGAGCATATACTAATGAAGAGTTCATTTAGCCTAAGTACCGTGCTCAAGCTTTGTCAGCTATATCACTATTATCCTTACAACAGCTCTATGAGAAAAATACTATTTTATAGAATGGAGACTTAAAGAGCTTAAGTAAATTGTCTAATATCATAGAGTTAGTGACAGGTCAGTCAGAATCTGAGTAAAAATTAAGTCTGAATTTAAAACCAAAGCTAAATTACCCCTCTCATTTTTTTCACCAATTACCCAGTCCACCGACCAGGCAGTCGGCCAATCACCAAACACCTACCCAGTCAGCCAGCAGCTAGGTGGCCAGACAACCTACTAATCAGCTAGCTAACCAACCAACATCTAGCCAGCCAGCCAACCAGCCAGTCAACCAGCCAAGCAACTAACCAATCAGCTGACCAACCAATCAAAATCTATTAAGTACCTGTGATATGGCATGTCCCTAAGCACACCCCAATTAGAGTAAATAGGTAGGAGAGGACATGCTTCCCTTGTTAATTCATTTTTCTCTTTGATATTCTGTCCTTAGTTTCTAGAATAATTACTGGCATTTTTAACAGAAAAGTAAGTCTTGGTTGTTTCCTAAAAGGAGACCAACATACACTTGAGACCTATAAGGAAATCCATGAGTATTGAGCAAACTAAGGTGGTGGGAAAAATAGGAAGAGGCTATAATGATAAATACCAAGGGGAAACATACAGTGAGAGGAAAAGAAAAGAACTGAGATGAAACTAAACAGGATGCAACTCTCTTTCCTTTCCTCTTCCTCTAGCTGGTGCCTAACCATCCTTTGGTCTTAACTCAAGCCACTTCCTCAGGAAGCTCCTCCCTCTTCTTCCAGGAGAGAGGACCCCTGGAGTCCAGATCCTCACAGCGCCTTGTACCTTCGCTTCAGGGCACTGTCACAACATTTGCAAGTTGATGTTTATTTTGATGATCAACTCCCGTTCTACTTCGCTCAAGTGAGCTCCCTGAGTGCACAATTGGGTTTATTTTTGCTTCCCGTTGTGTCCCCAGCACCTAGAATAAAGCTGCCTTCAATCAGTGACCCGTGATCATTCCACACGTATCTCGGATCACTTATTTTGTTCCAGGCCTAGCTCTGGGTTTTGAAACAATGGTAGTGAAAAAATACATACACTTTCCTGCTCTCTGCAGCTTACTATCTAATGGAAACTCCATAAAGGGTTGATAAGTGAATAAAATCTTAAATCCAGAGATTTTTTAAAAGCATGAAATACAACCTGAGAAATTCAGCCAGTTAATGGGAAAATTTATGTTAAACTATAAGTAATACATGTGATAAGGTAAGCAAAGCTTACCTATACCTCTTTTTTCTTTTTTTTTTTTTTTTTTTCGGTACGCCGGCCTCTCACTCTTTTTGCCTTTCCTGTTTCGGAGCGCAGGCTCAGCAGCCATGGCTCACGGGCCCAGCCACTCCGCGGCATCCTCCTGGACCAGGGCACGAACCCATGTCCCCTGCATCGGCAGGCGGACTCTCAACCACTGCGCCACCAGGGAAGCCCACCTATACCTCTTTTGAGGAGGAAAAGGATTGCGTTTTGGTAGGGACTAATGAAGGATATGAAAATCTGCCCTGCCAGGGGAAAAAGAGATGATCTAGATACCTGGAAAATATGGAAAAACCAGCTTCTGAGATATAGATGTTAACTATGGGACCAGGGAAAAGCACTGTAAAGTTTAAAAAAATGCTATGACCATTTGCATGTAGCCAAATTTTGTCAATATGGGCATGTCTCTATTTCTTCTTAAGTGACATGAAGATCAGAAATACTGACTTCTGAATAAAGACGATTGTCCCACTTTCAACTATTTTCACACTAGTATTGTTGGATTTCCAAAATGCAAACTAATGACAGAAGCCCATAAAAATTCTTAATAAAATGGCCCAAATAAGGAAGTTGTTGCTCTTGTAGTTGGTCTCTTCTGTCTTTGGGATATTAACTTCACCGAATATAAATGAGAGGGAAAGCTACAGACCTTGCTCAAACCAAGTCTTGTATGTAGTTGAGCAGAGAATCTAGGGACTGGAGCAGAAGATCATCACAAAACAGACTCTTTCCTTTGTGCTCCTTAGAAATACAGAGTGATGTGATGCTAATGCAAGACTTAGGGACCACCTCAGGTAGATGGAGGGACCACCTTGGGCAGATAGGGACCTCCTCAGGTTTGTACAGACCTGTTGTTTCAGGCAGGGATTCCTATCCCTTCTCCAGGATGCTCCTATAGATGTTCTCTAACCCAACCAGATCCAAATCATATTATACTTTTCACTAAAAATTGTCAGGAGTTGAGCCATCTTGGAAATTAGATTTACTCATCAATTTGATTGAAACAGGTATAAGAAAATATTTACCAAGGTTACTGGTTCCTTGACAACAATGAAGATAAACAGCTTTATGGAAAATAAACACACAGCCATTTATTAGAAGAATAAAGTCTGACATAAACACCAACAAGGATAGTAAACAATGACAGACTCCAACCCAAGATGTATAATTTAGTTATCTCCTAAATACTTAAGAAACTGAGAAAAATAAGACATTTCCCTCTAGCTCCCCTCTGTGTTATAAACAGAAATGCAGTCAAGGTGAGAAAAAACTAGGACTAAGGATGCCAAAACACAGCATCAAAATCGAGTTCATGGGGCTTCCCTGGTGGTGCAGTGGTTGAGAGTCTACCTGCCGATGCAGGGGACACGGGTTCGTGCCCCGGTCCGGGAAGGTCCCACATGCTGCGGAGCGGCTGGGCCCGTGAGCCATGGCCGCTGAGCCTGCGCGTCCGGAGCCTGTGCTCCGCAACGGGAGAGGCCACAACAGTGAGAGGCCCGCGTACCGCAAAAAAAAATAATAATAATAAAATAAAATCGAGTTTATGTTCTTCCTATCTCATTTGGTTGAATAATTCTGCATCATCTTTGCCTCTTTTTTTTCTGACAGCTATATTTTCTAATCATTACTGTCATCACCAACACGACCAAGTGATAAAATTACTAAGTGTCCTTATGTTCTAGGTGAAGAGAGGACATTATAGACATAAACAGAGTTGGTCCCAGTCATCTGGATGCTCATGTGGCCACAGGTGACTCAGCCACTTCCCGCACTTGCTCTAATACATAATAATGATTCTCCTGGGCCTGCTTGATGGGACAGAAACCATTGCACAGCAAGTCCAATCAATTTCTATGATGCAAATCACCCCTCCATCCACTTAGAAATATGGATAAAAGAATTAGACTCCTTTGGTGGCCATGGTGACTCCACAGGGTAAGGGCTTAAAGCTGTTTGTGCACACAGGGCATGAGGTAAAAACAGGATTATTTTTGGGGGGGAGGTGTTGTAGAGGAGAAGGCAATGGCTTGGGAGTAAGAAAATCCAGCTTTTAGTCCTCTTTCTGGCACTCACTGACTGTGTGACTTTGGCCAAGTCACTTAAATATTCTGGACCTTAGTTTCTTTTATTAGTAACCTTAGGTACGTAAAGTCACGTCATTTCCAGCTTTACCAGCTCATCATTGTCATCCGCTCAGAACAGAACTGGGAGGCAAAGATCCTTTGAGACCTGAATTATCGAAACACAGTAAATCAACGGCTAATGACCTCACTGAATACTTGCTCTCTATCCCCTGAGGACAGCGCAGCATCAATCAGGGACCACTTTGGTTCTCGCTCTTTAGTAGACAGAAGCATCTCCACTTACAGACCCTTCCTGGATGCAGCACGCGGGACCTTTGTTCCCCGACCAGGGATCAAACCCATACCCCCTGCACTGGGAGCACACAGTCTTAACCACTGGACCACCAGGGAAGTCCCCATTCCCACTTTATATGTGAGGAAATCTAGGCACAGAAAGGTGAAGACCCACATAAGATCATACCACTAGAAACTTCCAGAGTAAAGATGTGGATCCAGACCTGACTCCAAAGCTGTG